TCTCTCCTGCCCTGTAGGTTGTCAAGGCTGAATTTCCCTAAGGTGGGATTGGGAAGGAGGTTGGCTTAGGCTCATGCATTTTCTTCCTCTGCCTCCGATTATTATGGGAGTGTGTCTCTAGTAGCTCCATAGGCGGAGGTATGTTTTAGGGGAGGAGTACAATATATTTTTTAAAATTCTGGAAACCTTTCATTCATTTCCCTTCCAAGAATCCCAGTATGAAAATGAGCAGATGTGGACACACTTGGACACATCTGTCGTGAAAAGCAGCCCTTGGGTGGGAACTGTGGGAGCAGCCGGAGAAGCTGGGAGGGCTTCTCAGTGGACTGGCCTCGTGAAAGATGCAGCGTCGCCTGGTCGATGCCTGAGCCGATGGGAAGGAAATGATCAGTTTTTGAATAAAGGTTACTCGACTTAATTGATAAACTCTTTGGCTCATTTCCTCCCCTTCTATCCTCAGAGGCTTCAGCTGTTAAAATGCAGTGTGATTGGTAATGAGATCATCCTTTTTCTCGGTCTGTACCTCTCTCTCTACTATCTCTTGCTTCATTTTACAAAAGCTTTAGCTTGGCTTCCACAAATACTTAAAAAAGCTAAACAATGGTAAACGTGCCAGACTCGGGCAAAGTTCAAGTTCACGGAGAGAGCTGAAATGCAGACCATAGAGTTTTACAGCTGCCCATTCTTGGAATCATTCATTCAGGAACTACTTAGTAAATGCCCACTCTTTGCCAGGCAAACCCCAGTGTTTCTGGGGTTCCAGGAGACAACCACCACTGTGGTCACTATCTAGTGTGAAAAAAGGTAAAACAGAAATGAACAGGTGATGCACAAAGAATGTTAAATGAACAGGTGCAGTGGAGGACAGTAAAACAAGGAGAGGGCTATGGGCATCAGAGCGTGCTTGGGGGATATTTTATAACGGGTTGTTGGGGGCAGATTGCTGATGTTTGAGCAGAGGTGTGTCTTAAGAGAAGCATGCAGGATTGACTGTGCATTTGGTATCGAAGTTTATAACAGTAAACAAGGAAATGTGGAATGGTGAACTTCACGAAAGGAGTAGGTTTTCTTGGCATTAACAAAGAGAGATATTTCTTAATGTGGCTTTCACATGGGGACCCCTGAGTGCTGTCTCCCCGGCAGAGTCCCTTTGATGAATCAGAAGTAGGCTTCCCAAGCTGTCTCTGCAACTGTCCCCCCAGGTGTGCCCAGAACACAACGCAAAGCCTAAAATCCAGGCTAAGTAGTTCTCTGGGGAATTAGTACATTCTGGTTCAACTCTGGATTTCATGATCCGCAGACAAGACTCAGCACATCTAGATGAATGTTGGGACCGCGTGTCCTAGAAACGCTCCTCCATTACTGTGGTTTGTCTCGAGAAGAACCTGGACGGCAGTGCCACAGTGAGACATGGTGTGTCAGTCTGCAGTGGCCTGCAGCCCGTTGGTTGGGAACAGACTCGTACACTGCTTTCCTTTGTATTTACTAGACTTTTGAGAATTGCACGAAGGTGCCAGCGATTGTGATTTGCCACTGCTCAGGGACATGATTTATTGAGCATCACAGACAGTGCAATGATACATGAGGTTGCCGGCTTAGGATACAGCTTCGATGTGCTTCGAGGCATTAGGTCGACAGCACTACACAGGATGAGGCAGATAAGCATCCAGTCCGACCAGTGTAAACAGGGACAGTGTGTTTGCAGTAGCAGGAAACAGTGGGATCCCTTAGAGAATCTTGTGGTTTATTGAAAACACGGGACTAGGAGGAGCATCAGTGTCTAACACAGTCCAGAGCAACTGCATTTGGAAATAATGGCCAAGAGCATGTGTCCTTGTCATCATCCTGTGTGCCTGGCCGGGCACCTGGCTCACTGGGGCTGCTGGTACCTGATGGATGGGGGATGGACGGATGCACCAGGGGGCATGTAGGCAGCAAACACCCACACCTTTGGCAAAGGGGCATTGTGTGAAGGAATGCCTCTGAATTCAGTTGTCCCCTCATTTAAATTTAAAGAAAAGTGTTTTTTTTGGTTTTTGTTGTGTTTTGTTTTAAGATTTTATTTATTTGAGAGAGAGAGAGAGCGCACAAGCATGGGGGAGGGGCAGGCAGAGGAGAGGGCAGGGAGAGGGAGAAGCAGACTCCCCGTCGAGCAGGGAGCCCGATGCAGGGCTAGATCTCAGGACCCTGAGATCGTGACCTGAGCCGAAGGCAGATGCTTAACCGATGGAGCCACCCAGGCGCCCTGTGACAACTGTTTTTATTAGAGAAATTAGTTTTGATTTTTTTTTTCTTTAATTAGACTTTGGTTTAGGATTTTTCAGTAGAGGGATTATATCTGCTTAATGAGGATGCTTAGGCCACTTCATTGTGAACTCTAGCATATCTATTGGCATCAAATGCTTCTCTTCCTTCACTGTATGGGGGGCACCTTAGTGCTGGGGATTTCGTCCTGTTGCATCCCAGAATAGCACACGTACTAGTTGCTCAGTAAATGTTATGCAGGATGGAGTGTGCTGTGGTCTTCCTGTTTGGATTCTCTAATTCTATCCTGTAAGGCAGACTGGAAAGAAAAAAGCAAGAACACCTTGTCATAAAGTACATAGTATATATTGCAGAAGAAAAGGTTTTCAGATTACTACTGCATAGCGTATTTTGAGATCTTTTGAAACTTTCCAGTTTTATACATACTTCCACAGGGCCAGAAACAAATTCTAGGTGTGTATGAATTGATTCTGGAAGTTTAAAAATTTTAAGATTTCTTTCCCATGTGAAACATAGTTATATGCTCTGTTCATAATTTATTTCTTACTGATGTATTAATGTTAATTGAAAAGGGTCTTTTTTTATATGAAAATTTATCAGTAATAATTGGAAGTGATTAATTTTCCAGTCTTCTTGGGTTTTCAGTTTCCAGGATAAAACTAATGGCAGGCCTGGTGGGCAGGCTGGGGGTGTTGGATGCAAAGAGCTGAGAAAAAAATGGTTTCTTAGGTCGGTTTCTTCTTATTTTTAAACGAGACATGGAAAAGACTCAGCCCATAATTCAGGCCGTTTAAATATTCAATTGGACACAGAACCATGTCCTCAATGATTTCCTGTCACGTCACTTTTCTCAAGTGTCAGCATTAGAAACAGATACATGGAGATTAAGCATTTTGAAGTGTTCGGGAAGACAAGTCTTTATATGCCCCGCACCAACTGGGCCCACGGAAACACACGAGAGCTTTGAGTGCAACTAACTGTGCATTTGTGAAGACCAGGCAGTTTTCATTAAATAAATTGGTTTCTTTCTTTTCTTTTTGTTAAATCTTGTTTTAGGGTTTTATGCAGAGGAAATTTATCTTTGAGTAAGAAAACTGCTGTAAGTAGATGAAGTGTAAGACCTACCAGCACAGGAAAACCATAAGCATCTCTGAATCAAAGTTAATTATTTTAAAGGAAAAGATAAATACAATCACCATCACCATCCTGGCTCATGGCTTAAATGCCTCTTTGCTGTTCTTATGGATTAAAATTTATTTTTGAGACGAAAAGTAATGTTTTCTTTACTGGTCCACAGCATTCGCGTCGCAGACTTTTACCGCCCCCCTCCCTATGTACTCCGTCCTCCTCTGTGGCAACGGCAACAGATTCCCACAGACTTGGCTCAAAACCACACAGATTTATTATGTAATAATTCTGGAGGTCAGAAGTCTAAAATCGATTTCAAACTGAGCTAAAATCAAGGTGTCGACAGCTGCATTCCTTCTGGGAAGGATTCCTTTCTCGAATTTTCCAGCTTCTAGAGGCCCCTGGCATCCCTTGACTCAGATTCCCTTCCCTCCGCCTTCAGGGCCAGCAAGGCAGGGCGAGCTCTTCTCACACCCCAGCGCTCTGGCGTCTGCTTCCTCACCTTCTCTCAGCCGGACCCTCTGGTCTCCCTCTCATAAGGACCCTCGTGATTCCATGATGCCCACTTGGATAATCCGGGATAATCTCCCCATCTCAAGCTTCTTAATCACATCTGCAGAGTCCCCTTCCTCGTGCAAGGTAACATCTTCAAAATCTGGGGATTAGGACAGGGACATCTTTGGGGTGGGGGGGGCATTATTCTGCTTGTCACACTGGGTTCTGGGGTTAAGACAGGTCCTGCTCTCAAGAGGCAGGTAGCCCGGCGAGGGAAATTATTTACTCTTTTACTCAATAAACACCCCCTGAGCTGCTTCTACCAGCCAGGTGCTGTTCTTGGCTCTCAGGGTATCTCAGTGAACAAGAAAGATGAATGGTATACTTGAGGAGCTGACCATCCTCTAAATGAGGGTGATAGCTAATCTACACACCTATGATAAATAACATGGTGTGTTAGAGGGGAAAGGGGAAAAAAGAGCCAGCAGAAACAGTCAAGGCCTTAAACAAGCAGCTCTAACGGAGAGTAAGGTAGGCTTTGGGGAGGTCGGCCAGTGCCCCAAGAGTGCTGTGGGAGCGCCAGGGCCCTGCCTAACTTGAACCTGGGTCTGGAATCGGGGCACGTGTTGGGCAGAGAGGGCTTCGTGGATGCCATGGTGCCTGAATGGAGTCCTGGACGGTAGCTAGGAGTTGGGTGGGGGCAGGAGCTAGTGCTCAGTGCTGGGTGACTGGGGGCAGGGGGAGATGGCACATGAGGCCCCACTTGAGTTAAATGATGGGCTCTGTTGTAACCACCAAGCAGTGACAGGGGTGTCGCAGCCCAGAAGGCACTTCACCTGGTCTCTGCCTTCACTGCCCCTTCCCACTGCTCAAAGGCCAGTGGAGAAAGGATGAGTCCAGACAGCCCACAGGTTCCTGTCACTTCTTAGAGCCAGATGACCTTTCGCTATGGGCTTCTTGACTTATGTTACCCTCTTAAAGGCATGTTGGCATTTTTAAGAAATCACAGTTCCAGGTTCTTCCATTTAGTCACAGAGCCCAAGTAGAGAATCTGTGCTGAGCATTCCTGCTATTGGATGTCCAGCAGAACAGCTTGTCTTCCCTGCGACTGTTGTTGACGCTGGGCACAGCCTTGGAGCCTGGGTCCACCAGGCCAGCAGGGGCACCTTGCCCCCTTCTTCTGTTTATTATTGTTGAGGGTGATCCCTAAACATCAGTTGGAGCTGGCTGCATTGTGGGGTGTCAGCTTCTGGGGGTGAGGGAGGATCTGTCTGGGAGAAGATCCTTGAGCTGCAGGTGGAGTTGATGTGTGTTATTCATTCATCTGTTTGCTTTTGAAAACCAGTAGCCTTTCAGTCCATGTGCCATGTGTGAACTCACTAGGGCATTTCCTGTGTATGGGGGCCACCTGTCATAGGGTTAGTCCAGGGGAGGCTGTCCGGTGGCATGCACTCTGCCATACTCGCCTCTCTGTGACTCAGTTACTGTTTCTACTCTGCTGAGACCTGATGAGAAAGCATGTTGTATTAGTGTTGTCCAGAGAAACAGAACCAATGGGGTGTGTGTGTGTGTGTGCACACGCGCGTGCATGCATATACACACATACAGAGATTTATTATAAGGCATCGACTCACCAGTTATGGAGGCTGACAGGTCCCGAGATCTATGATCTGTAAGTTGGAGACCCAAGAGCTGGCGGCGTAGTTCATCTGAGTCTGAAGGCCAGAGAACCAGGAGAGCTGATGGTCCAGTGTGAAAGCCAGAAGACTCAAAACCCGGGAAGAGCTGACATTGTAACTGGAGTCCAAAGGCAGGGGGGAAACAAACAAAAAACAACCCAATGTCCCACCTC